ATATTGAATTATAATCCTAATTTTGTTTAATTAAACAACTTAAATATTGATATAATCCTAATTTTACTATAGCCTGGCATGCCAAGTAGTAAGATCTACTCTATTGGACAAGCAAAAGTGACAAGATCATCTGATGTAATTAGTGACATTGGTTATACACCAAGTAATACAACTAAGCTGAAATGGAATGGTAAAGCAGCATTCTCAACAAGCAAACTTCATGAGCTTAGAGAGAAGCCAAGAAAGAAGATAATGGGAAGTAGTTCAAGTCAAAATGACACTTCTTCAAAGTTAAAGATGTCATGGAAATTGTAGTGATGTTGATGTGTTTAAGCACTTTTAAGTTAGTCCATACATGTTGCATTAATGGCCTGCTATTTTGGATTTTGTTTGTTGGTAAATTTTGCCTTATGTGAGGGCTTTTGAATATGACATTATTTAGGTAAATTTTGCCTTATGTGAGGCCTTGTAAATATGACTTTATTTTGGTAAATTCTACCTTATGTGAGGCCTTATGAATGAATGATGATGTTGTGTTTTAAAATGGTTGTTGTGTTGTCTATCGAATTGTATTGGCTATTCAGGTGTGCTTACATATGTTGTGTTGGTTATGTGTTTTACAAATGGTGTTGTGTTGTCTATGTTGAAGTATGAATGGATGACTAGGTTGTTGGTTGTTGGTTGTTGATAAAGCGTTGCATATTAATACAAGCTTCAATTGACATCATGGATACAAAATGACACACATACATTGACAATTTTAATTAAACATAACAACAATACAAATCAAAGAGAAATCCAAATATGCAGCACTTGAACTACTGGTTGCTGATGAACATAGCAACAACACAAATCAAAATACACAAAAGTATCTTCCTATTGAACCTACATCATTTCAACCTTCTATTGAGTCTCCTCTCCAATAACAGACTAGAGTTCCTCAAGTTGTCAATATGAACCTGTCTAATACATAATTCTTGCTCCAACTCATTGATTTTCTTCACCAATCTTGGAAGGATAAAACTTGATCTTGGATCCACTTCTTCTTTGTCCCTTCATCGAAAAAATTGCAATTTTTAGACTGAAAATGATCCAAAATAGTACATTAGCATTATTCAAAATAAAGTGTAGCAAGAATACAAGAAAAAACACATACACCATAGCATGGGCAAGATCAAAATCTTCTTCCCGGATTTAATTTCGACCAAGAAGTTTACAAATTCAGCAAAATTCCGTGTTTGCGTCTCACTACAGCGTTGAGCATTGGGTCTGATTCATCCATACAAAGCTTATTCAAGTTTTCATTTGCCATTTTTGATGAATTTCGAGAAAATTCAAAATTCAAATTAGAGACCTAAATAAGAAACTAGAGAAGATTACAAACCCTAAATTCAAGATTTGAAGTAGAAATGAACATTAACAACTAAACCCTACTTAATTTTGAGAGGAAATTGTGATTTTTTTATAAAAGGAACGAGGGTTAATGGTGGGGAAGAAGAAATAATGGTTTATTTAAAAGTGGGGAAGATGACCGTTCGAGAAGGAGGAATTTTTCGTCAAAATTAATCTTCTAACGCGCCTAGAGGAGGTGAGAACACCTCCCATGACATGTTAGTACTTAGGTGTGTAGAAAATAGAGAAATATAAAGTTCAGGTGAATAATAGGACACCCGTAAAGTTGGAGTGTGTAGTTGAGATTTAGGGTGTAGGTTTGGGGGGGGGGGGGGGGTTTAGACCATTTTCTCTATATTCTAAGTAAATAACCTTTTTAACATATTGTTTGCATTTATGTTCCTTTGGGTGGATGTCTTCCCTATTTAGTCCAAATTTCCACCTCAAACTTCAGTAACATGTGATAAATATGTCGCGCTCTCAAGTATCCTACTTGTAAGGCCAATTTCCTTAGTTTAGAACAGCAATTGTCTTTAAACTCTTTAAGGTTTTATATATGTAAAACTTAAAGATTGATCTGTTTTAGAAGTATATATGTGGGACATGGATTTTAGTTTAAATTCCTTGGTCAGGCATTTAACTATATTTTTTGTGCTTCCTAAGTGAGTTAATTTCTTATTGCATTGAATTTGGTTTTGCAGAGTCACTAAGAATAAGCTCATAACTCATCCTACGGTTTGTAAAATTTGTAATCAAGCTTTGCGAGCTGTCTTGGATGAATTACATGAGGCTGTGAAGTTTGATCAAAGGACCTAAGGTGGGAAAATGCATAAATACCCCCAGCCTATACCCAAAATCCCTGAGACACACCTAACCTTTAATAAGGTCCTATTACCCCTCGAACTTATTTTATATATAATTTTCTACCCCTTTTCGGCCTACGTGGCACTATCTTGTGGGCCCAACGCGTGTTGATAATTTTTTCAAGGATAGTGCCACGTAGGCCGAAAAGAGATAGAAAATTAATTAAAAAATAAGTTCGGGAGGTAATAGAACCTTAGCAAAGGTTAGGTGTGTCTCAGGGATTTTGGGCATAGGCGGGGGGTACTTATGCATTTTCTCGACCTAAGATAGAGTCGAAGAATATATGTTTGAACCACTGACTTTATGATATTCGATTCATCTATGAATTTCATTTCTTGTGAATAGTTTTATTTGCTAGAATTCCTAAGTGGTCCATTTAGAATTAGGGGTTGGCATCAACTTCTGATGGCTATTGAAATATAATTGAATTTAGAATTTGTTTTTGACTAATTATTTTTTTCACTAGTTAATTATCTTGAATGATTATAGTGAATTTACTGTGTTCTTATTATAAATATAAATTCAGAGAGGTTATATATTACATACATATATCATTTTTTCCTCGATCATCTCCAAATTCATAATATTACCAATTTTCTTCAAAAAGGGAAAATTGTATGAAATAACAAACTATTAATTCAAATTAAATGTTATAGTCATAGTTTATTTTAATTGTAATTCGCAACAAACATCCCATTTTTTTGCCATCTAATTCGGTATACAATTAGCCATATTATACATTTTGGTATAAAATGCGTTTGTGTTTGTATAAAATCCGGTGGTATTGATCTTGATCGTTCTTGAACTTGAACTTGAACTTTATCTTGATCTTGACTTTTACTTGAATTTAAGGGCCTCGAGCTTGTTTATGAATCTGGTGGTCCTGATCTTGATCGTTCTTGAACTTGAACTTTATCTTGATCCTAAATTTTACTTGAATTCAAGGGCTCCGTGCTTGTTCTTGAATCTGAGGATCTTGGTCTTGATCTTGATCGTTTTTGAATTTGTAGCTTGTAGAGAAATATGTGACTTTTTTATCCACGAACTCTCTCTAACTTCTTGTTAGAATTCTGGTATCTTTTTCTTAATTATGAGGACTCCTATTTATAGTTTGTGAATAAAGAAGTTGTGATAGGAACATGTTTCCCTTCGACCAATCAAAATGTGCGGGATTCACAATGTGATTAGAGCCTCTATAGGAACATGTTTTCCTTCGGCCAATCAAATTTTGTTTTGAATTCACATAATCACATTGTGAATCAAATGCATAATCAATAAGAATAATGTTTTAATTTATTTTTTAAAAATAATTTCTTTTTATGGATATAGTAATATTTTAGTCTTTAACTTTTAACTAATACTAATATTTTATTTTATTTATGTTGAGGTGAAATATTTTGTCCATGAGAAGTGTCATGTGACAAGATTTTTTTAAAATAAAAGAGACTATATCACACACACCACTAATGCATGTTTCTCAAATTAATGAGTAATAGTTTATGTATGAAACTCATACTCCCAATAGTTTAGATATCAAACTCAAAAAGAAAAAGAGATAGCTTAGATGTATTTTTGACACTTGCCTCATTTAAATTTAAATTTATAAACTTTCTCCACTAATATCTGCATAACTCTAAGGGGTCGTTTAGTATGATGGATAAGAAAGAATAATCTTGGGATAAGTTTTTAGTACTCTTCAATTCTTTGTTTGGTTGCAAAGTATAAAATAGTTTATCCCAGGTTTAATAATTATGACTGGGATAACTTATTTCTATTTATGGGTGGAATACTAATTCCATGATGACTTATCCCGAGATAAAAATGTAAAATAATAAAAGTATCCCCTTAAATCCTCTTTTATACCTCACTTTTAAATACATGTATATTCAAGTAATATTTAATATCATTTATAATAACACTCACAATCTTCACTATTCGTTATTTTTATGATTATATATTTTTCCATTAAAAAATTACACTATATAAATATAATTTTATTTATGAATATATTGTAGGTTGAATTAAGTTGACTAATTCTTATGTTTATTTATCTTTTATTTTCTCTTGAAATATTCACTTAATATTCAATTACATATTTTAAATTAAATGAATTTTTAATCACTTGAAAATTTGTATTTTATATATCAATTATGATTGAAGGTTAGTAGGGCTAGCGTGTTGTCTTTCCTTGCGAGGGTATGGATTGTTAGCGTGTGTAGTAGTCCTAGCCTTGCACTTGCAGTTCTTGTCTGTGATACCTATAGCCTTATGTTGTTTACTGCGTTTCAATTCTCTCATTGTTCTATTGATGTTATTGTCTCCTTTGTTGATTATATACTATCTTTCTTATTGGATGGTATGTTTTATACACTGTTTTCCTCGCCTTCTACTTGGATTTGATGTACTTGAGCTGATGGTCTTTCGGAAACAGCCTCTCTACCTCCACGAGGTAGTGGCAAGGTCTACGTACACTCTACCCTCCCCAGACCCCACCTAGTGGGATTTCACTGGGTATGTTGTTGTTGTTGTTATATATCAATTAAAATGAAGATAATTTTAATATTTTATAATATATATACGAGTGATATGTGCTTAAATGAAGTGACATCAACAATAAAATCTCTTTTACTTTAACAAACTTAATTATGATGAATGCTTTATTTTTAAGTTAAATAAGATGGATGTTTTATATTTAAAAACACACACACCTACACACAAAAATATACGTTAAATAATATTTTCGTAGAAAAATACTCTAAACCAAACGGGCCCTAGGGTTTAAGGTATTGTTTGTTGATAGAAGAAGGAAGAAAATCACAGAGCAGCCACCGTCGCCAAAATGTCGAAGAAAAACGATTTGGGTCGCCGGAAAAAACAGCACGAGTTCAATCTTCGGAGTATAATTCTTTCCCTTGAATGTTATGTGTTACTACAATCTCGATGTGATACTAATTTTTGATTGATGGTGAAATTACAGGGGAAAAAGAAGAGAAAGAAAAACTAGCGAAGAAGTTACAAACAAAAAAGAACAAGATGAAGGTATTTTCCCTCTTTAATGGTTGATTATGTGATAAATTCTCTGTGTATTTACTAATTTAATTTAACAAGTAAAGTTATGATCTTTACTGGGTAATCTTTGATTGTTCAATTGTGATTTGGATGATTTTGTGGTTTAGGTGGATGGTAAGGACAAGAAGAAGAAAGGTGGTAATGGATTTCAAGTTGGGAAGAAAAAATTGAAGACAAGGATGACTCCATTAGCCAAAGCTAAAGCTGCACAAGCAATGGAGATTGAAAAATAAGATTTTACTGTAATTCATTCAGGTGTATTTGGTATCTGAAATTGAAGCTGTTTACGTCTTTCTTCTGCAATTTGCGAAAAAGACTTGATATTTGTTCATGTTTTATGTTGCTATCTATATTCTTTGTTGTGTTCTTATGCTTTTAATCTTTTTCTCTGCATTGTTTTGGGTCTTGGCATTACCATGTTTAACTGAGTAGTTCAACATGGAGACAACAATGGAGATTTGGAGTTCATATCCTGAGCAAACTTATACTCTGTTTACAATGGTAGGGGACAGTAGTTTTTGTATAACAAAACAATATCAATACTGTCATTTGATATTTAAAAGCATTACTGCCCAGTTATGAGTTCACAAAGATCTTGTCTTTTTTGAAATCGAGTAAGCTGTATTTGTTACTGTACTTCAAATTATCATTTAGAAAGATCTTTAATCATTAGACTAGATTTTTTTTGGTCACATATATTGTTGTTGTCACACCTTAATCAAGTCAAAGTTAGATTTTCAGGCCGGGAGAGTTTGTAATAAGATCTTAGCAATGGGTATTACAAAACTGTAACTGATATGGATATGTTGCTGTCAGTGCATTGCTTTGTAACTACACGAGAGAGCAGTGACAGCATTTGTAGTGGCAGTTTATTGCGCCCACTAAAGAGTTAATTGTGGTCTATTTGATTTCAAAATGGTAGTTCTCTTTGGGGCCTGGAAATAGGTGGATTCTGCTAATTAACCATCCTCGCTCCTGCAAAAAAGGGAGTCGGATAAAGAGCAGCAGAGAAAGGAGAGGTTTGTGCACTGTGTTGTGACTTGTGAGCTTCTCTAGTTTAGCTATTTACCTATGTTGTGGAAGTTCATTGAATCCCTGGAACAAATAGTTGAAGTAGCTGTAGTTTTCAAGGGTTATTGCGTTTGTGTTAGTTACGAGTTATGACTTAAGCTTATATTGTTGCGTTGGAGCTGCGAAGACCCCTGTAACCTTTAACTTACTTTTGGCCGCTGTACTTTGTTGTGGATGTTTTCTGGGAGTAGCTACCTGCATATGTTTGGTTTTAATTCTGATGTAATATTAAGCCCATTATGTTACACATAAGTTTCTTTGCTTGTCCTTTTTGTATATTAGGATAAAATGCAAGATTATTTTATCTTAGATGCCCCATTGCGAGCTGATCTTGCTCGGGTAGATGTTCAAGGATATCATGGAGAGTTTTCTCGGTTCTCCCGGATCCCTTGCAGACATGCCTTCCTATTTGGTCTCACCACGTGTTATGGTTTGATTCACTCTTTTCACTATATCTGATTTTGTCCCATACGATACAATCTTAATGGATCGTGTTAGTGATGTTATCTTAAAACTCTTTTTTCCTTAACCAAACTCGATATATTCCTCTGCATGTTTGTAGTTGCAACTGATTTTCTTCACTAACTGATCAACAGAAATTATAGTTCAATGCATTTACTCCCACAAATCACATTTGGTAGTTAAGAGAATGAGAAATCAAGGTGGAGGAATGTGAAAGAATTGAGTTGATATGTATGTGAACTGATACATATCCTTATTGGCGGCTTTACCAAAACGACCAGTTGGTGTTACAAGTGCTCTACAGCAAGTAGCACAATCCAAGTTGTTTGAGGTGAAATTTGGAGGCCAAAATTGGTGCCTGCTCTCTCTCTCGTCATCTCAATTGTCCCTTTCACAACCCCTCGGCCCTACCTTTTAATCATCCTACGCGCCTCACTTTTCCGCACAAACACTTTAGGGAAGACAACTTGTTAAATTTGTTCTAATTAAACACTTGAATATATAATAAATAGAGATTAAATATTTTTATTAAATGTTTTTGACTTAAATTTTAAAATTATTTTTGTACATGTTCTTAAAATGTGTCTATTCGTAAAGAAGCTAAACAAATAAAATATGCCACTTCTTTAATTATACACATCAATGTTAGTTGGAACATGCCTAAAGTATTACGATTTATTGAGGTTAATGCATAAGTGGTTAACTTATTTACATATGGGACACTTGAGAATACACGCAATAACTTTCTCAAAAAAATTGAGTTAAAAGAGTTTAATACTCATTCGGTTCAGTTTAGTTGTCTTACTTTCCGTTTAATCCGTTAAAAAAATATCTTTTTCTATTTTTGGCAACTCTTTTTGATTTCAACTTTTTACATGGCATATATAAGACATACGGTTAAATGATATTTTTAGTATATTTGAAATATCTTTAGTTTAAGATCATAAATTAAGATTCAAAATTCTTCTTTACTTTTTAAAACTTTGTGTTAAGTTAAAACTAGATAAACAAATTGAAACGAAAAAAATAATATTTTATTTTATATTTAGGTACTCAATTTACATAAATTAAACTGTCGAATTTAAGACAATTGGATTTATTTTGAGTAAGCTAATTATAATAATCGAGGAATCATTTGGTAGGATGTATAAAAATAATGTTGAATAAAGTGTATTAATAATGCTTGTATTAATTAGGCAAAGATAATTTTTAGCGCATTGTTTAATTCGGTATATTAAAACTAGCTTGCATCGCATACTTTTTAATATATTTCTTTACATAGATACCCTCCACAAATATAGTGAAAAAGATGTAAAAAAAAGTTCAAGGGGCAATTGAATCTTTAACATGCTAATACATATCATACTTTTTTATGTATTAAAATATACTCCCTCAATACACAATAGAGTATTAGTTATACATAAATTAAAAAATATATAAAATAAAATATTATTAAAATACACAAAATTAATACATACATTATTTTTTCTGATACACTCTACCAATCGAAATCAAAATTTTTAGGATCAAAAGTGAACATTATGTGAGGACAGAAAAAAGGGGTTGCCAATGCTTCACAAGCTGCGCGTGGGAATGAACAGAGCTTGAGAAATTGTTATTAAATTAATTTTTGAGCGCAATAAATATTGGCATTATCCATTCAGCGCCTTTTTTCAGGTTTGAGAGTATGCTTAGCTTTCTCTTCAATTCAATCTTCTGAATCTGTTTGCTCAAACAAATTGGCATCACTCAATTTCTCTCTCACATACCACACAATGACACAACACATATCTATTAGTTCTGAAACAGAAACAACTCTCTCTGCCCCACATTTCCATTTTCATTTCAGATAAGGACTTGTCACAGGTTATAGTAACTTCACCATTTTCCCTCTCTAAGCTTTTAACTTTCTTTTTTCCCAAAAGAGTCACCTCTTTTTTGCATTTTAATCCATATGGTGTCAGTTTCTTCAAAAAAAATAGCATAAAGCTGTGATCTTTATTGAGTTTGCAGATCAAGAATTGTTTTTATTAGGTGTTCATGACTGGGGTTCTTGTTCTTGATGTAATGGCATTGATTTCTCTGTTGGGTTTTGTCTCTTTCTGTTGAATGTGCAGAAATTTAGTGTTTTAAGGGTTTGTTTTTGAATGGTAAGGTAAGAACGGATCAGGTTCAGTCTCTGTTTGTTTTGCATCTATCTTCATTGTAAAGCCCTTTTCCTTTTCAAATAGTTTTGTCAAGGTGTTAAAAGTTATGGTACTCTTGCTTGTTCTTTAATCTTAGCCCTTTTGCTTTGAACTTGCATTTCTCTGCCTATGAACATATCTTAGCCTCTTGCTTTGCTTTTCTGTGGATTTTTTTAACTCTGAGCTCTTTTCCTTTCCTTCTCCTACTATAATGTGTTTTAACCTATATCTATTTTGCTGAGTTCGTTACTTATTTCTTAATTTACTTTGTGTCATTCACTGACAGTACTCTTAAATCTTTTCAGATTTACTGGGAGGCTTTGTTCTTGAAGGAGCTTTCAGTTGTTATTCTTTGTGCTAGTTAGGAAGTGAAATTCACAGCTAAGTACATTCTTGGAATTTAAGGAGATCTTGAATGTGCATAATAAAGTTCCCTTGAGAATTTAAAGAAGTTCAGTCTTTTTGTGCCATTTTCTAATCAAAGGCTGCAACTTTTACTGGTTTTGATGTTGCGAAGACCACTTTCCATGTTTAGGAATAAAGAGTTGTGACTTTGATTCCCTTCCCTTATAGATTTAAATCATTGTTCGAAGGGGATATATTGTTTACGGAGTTCTGAAAAAAGAAATAAATGTATGGATCGAAGGGAAGCTATGATGTTACCTGGATCCTCTCCTTACTATATGCAGAGAGGGATGAGTGGGAATGCCCCTGGTTTACAGGGATCACCAAGCATTAATCCTTCGTTAACTCCTACTAATATTGCCTTTCAATCTAGTGGCAGTGGTGCTTCGATTCCACAAACACTAGTAATGGATCCTTCATCAACTATATCACCCAGAGGTAGTATTGGTGCATCCTCCGCAATGCCACAAGGTGAGCCTGTGCGCAGAAAGAGGGGTAGGCCACGGAAGTATGGAGCTCAAGCGGCAATGTCGTTGGCTCTGACTCCACCTCCATCTACTCAGGCAATGTCATTAAACCCAACTCAGAAGAGGGGTAGAGGAAGGCCTCCAGGGTCTGGACGAAAGCAGCAACTCTCTTCTTTTGGTAATTTTTCCTTCAATTTGCATTTCCATATATCCTGAACAATTGGAGTGGTTTGATGTTGGTGACCTAATATGTTTCTTTTTACTCTTAGTTGTTGTTTGTTAAGTTCTTTGTTTTATAAAGAACTTAATCTGATTGACGAAGTTTTACCAACTTACTTCTGTGCAGTCCTCTTAAGCCACAGCATGTTCCTTTCTTGCACTTGGCTATCTCCATCATGATGATGTTGTTTATCATTGTGTATCCTCCTCAACAGTGAACAAATTTTTCTTGCAAGAAAGATACCTCATATAGATAGATAGATAGATAGATAGCTATTGTTCTGATAAGTACACTATATAAAGCATATTACAGTCACATAGGAAGTAAAATATACTACTATTTCATGTAATAAAAAGAAGATTTCAAGCATTTTAATAATGTATACCACATGTTAAAGTGGTTTATAAAACCTCAGAACTATATATTTTGGTTTCATCATGCTGCAATTTAGGCCACCAGTGTTTTATGTGGGGATTAGGATGAGCTCACATATCAAATATGGTCAAATGATGATAAGGCAATATTAAAGTTGGAACAAAACTTTTTCTACATTTCATCCTTCGTACTCATCTTAAGTGACAACCAAAACTTAAAAAGAAAAGGACGAACCATCTTGTTTTATTTTTTGGGTCAGTTACTTCTTCTCTCTAGTTTAACAAAACTTAGTGGACCTCCACTCTGGTTTGAGAAATACTTGAGACTTCCTTCCTCAAAGGTACAAGTTTTGGGTCAAATTAATTACTGTATTATTTTAACCATAAATACATAAAATTTGTCTCCAGGATTTAGTTTCAAAATGAATCACCAAAACGAGTACTTGAGAAGTTGCGATATTTTTAGCATCTGAACTTGCTTTCTACATGTGGTAGTCAAGGTTGAAATTTCATAAAATTCTACTATTCCTTTATTAAGTGTCAATGTTATCATCAATGTGAGCATTCTGCGAATTTCCTGCACCTGGATGTGTCTTTGCCATGCTTTTGGTGGCTGATTTGCTGTAATTGTGACTTATATTTGATTGCCATATAATTGGTTGATCTTTTGCTAGGTGGGTGGTTGTCCAATACAGCTGGAATTGGTTTTACCCCGCATGTCATCATGATTGCTGTAGGAGAAGTATGTGATTCACATGTTTTAGAGTGTGTTAAATTGTATAGCATCACATAGATAGCATGACTGAAACTACTATTGCATCTATTTTCCTCACTTCTATCATGCTGGCAAATTATAGCTTTATGGGTCACTTATATACATTAAATTTGTTAGAGCATGGGAATGAACTCTCTCTCTCCCCCACCCCCCACCCTGTTTATTTTCCAAGTTAGGCTTTCAAGAAACTTGAGCAAGAAGTAACATAATGAACTCAATGGTACATTTAGTTTTGGTCCAAGATATCTTAGGGACCTTAGACTGATCATTACATGTGAGTATATGCAATAAGATGGATACTTTTTGGGTTGTGATAGGATTGGAGTGAGTTTGCTTGTGGAAGGGGAAGACGAGAGAGAAACTGTTGGCACGTCTTGTATGCTTAATTATTGCGCAGGAACTTACTTATCATTGACTGGAAACAATTAAAATTAAACTTGCTTTTGGTTATCAAAAAAACAAAAAAACTAGAAACAACTCAAGATCCTTCTTTACAGGGTTGCAATCTTAATATATTGGTAAGTTTATGGGTGCCTTCTTAGCTATTGTTGGCTTAATGAATTGAGTATCTGGGGAGAATGTGCAGTCAGTTAAGCTTAGGAGGTTCCTTTTAATAGATGAAACTTGAACGTGAAAAGTCATATTATGTTTGGGATTGACAAATAAAAGGTGATTCCATACTTGATCCAGAAGCAGTTTTGACCTTTTAAATTCTCTTATCACCATTTCCCTACAGGAAGCTAGGTGCTCTCAAATTATTTGTATAAAACAGAAGGCCTTTGAGCGCAATAAAACATTGTTACAACTTCAATTTGGAAAAATGCATCTGGCATACCTTTAATCAGTACTCTTTCAGCCATTCAATTACTTCTCTATTTTAGTTTTAATTGTGCCACTAACAATACTAATGGAAGGGTTCATTTGCATTTCCTGCAGGACATCACTACAAAAATAATGTCGTTTTCGCAACAGGGGCCTAGATCAATATGTATTTTATCGGCAAATGGTGTCATCTCCACTGTAACTCTTCGTCAGCCATCAACTTCTGGTGGCACTGTTACATATGAGGTCTGAAGACTAACATTAATTTCAAAAAATATAATTTTTCAGGCTGATAACAGTAAGTTGCTATCTCCTAAAATGGAGAGCATAAATGTCTATAGCTTAGACTGATCAGCAGGAAGTTGTTATCTTTTCTTTGAGGTACAACGGTGGAATTGAGTTGTTTGAGACTGGTTAGGAAAATAAATTTATTAGTGTTTTCAATATTGTTTGGTCTAATAACTTTACATGGATCTGTTAGTAACCCTGAAATAACTTTGCGACTTAGTTTCTGATGTCCTTAATACCCAATTGGAAAATATTTTAACACATAGGTTAATAATTTTGAGGCCTAGACTTTTAAGGTTGTTTTCTTGATTCTTATGTATAAATGTTTTAATTCACTAGTAATTTTTTCTTGATTTGACATTCAAATTGCAATAGTGAGGAAACTAGACATTTCTTATCCCTATCTATGATTGCAGATTCTGGGATTGTTCCTGTATCTCTTACAAATTTGTTGACCAATCTTTTCTCAGTTTTCTTCTACACTGTTGTATACCATATGATGAATCAGCTTTTTGGTATAGTTTCTGGGGATCTAGGTGTCTGGGTGAGGGGGAACCACTTATTAAAGTGGGTAAAGTTTTCTCTATATTAGGAGCTCGTAATCTAGTTAAGTACTGATTTAAGTATTTTATTGCATTTTACCTAATTTACCCCCTCATTTTCCATGCCTCTTCTGCAAAAATGAACTTCCAAACATATGTTCTTATTCCATACAGGGACGGTTTGAGATATTATGTCTATCGGGCTCATTCTTGGTCAACGAAAGTGGTGGATCTCGGGGTAGGATTGGTAGTCTAAGTGTTTCTCTTGCTAGTCCAGATGGTCGCGTGATAGGTGGTGGAGTTGGAGGTGTTCTAATTGCAGCAAGTCCAATTCAGGTATCATTTTTAATCCTTCTTCGAATGGAAACCATTCGGTATTTGGCTGTCTTCATCATATGATACTGTCATGAACTCATTTGCAAATTAGGATGAAACTTTTTTTTTTTTTGATGACAAGTATGAAACTTTTTTTAAGGTTGCTTCCATTTTAATCTTCATGCACCTTTGAATCTCAAAAAAACTTTGGCTGGTTTTAGATTATATAGCTGGGTGATCATCGTTAAATCATGACAAAATTCGCCTACCTTGTGGCACATTCAAACCCTTGACTTTTCACTTACCTGTTCAAAGCCTTAAACTGAGAGTGAATAATTTTAGGTAATAGTGGGAAGCTTCTTATGCTCAAGTTCAAAGGCAAAGAAAAGAGCTGCAGAAAGTGTACAGAGTGCAGGAACTTCAGATCTTCAGACCACTGACAATTCCGTTAATCCAGCTGATGCTCTTTCAAACCAGAATCTTGCACCATCCTCTTCAATGGGAGTATGGCCTAGTTCAAGGCAGATGGATCTACAAACTGGCCATACTGACATTGATTTAATGCGAGGATGACTATGTCAAATGTAGGTAAACGAGTGAGCACTGTATATATTGTGTTCTGATTTCTCCAGTCCTACCATCTTGACATAAGACATGTTCTCACAACCATCAGTAATCACCTTAGATTGTAGTGATATAGGAGTTCTTTTGCAGTTTAACTTTAACATGAATCTGCTTTTCTACTCTGTAGTAGTTCAATTTATGCTGTAGGCTTTAGTCTGCGCGTGTAACATATTGTGGTTTGTCTTCCAGTTGCAAACTGTTCCATCAATGTAGCTAATTTTTTCTTGATCTTGTGGTGGATGACATATTATCTCTGCCTGATTTTGAAATCTGATCCTCTGTAATTATTCTATGCTTGAAGTGTCCTGCTTGTGTTTTTTAACCATTCCATGGAAAAAAACAACAAACTATTCAAATAGATATAAGTTTGCTATCTCATCTTGCACGAAAGTACACAACTTCAATAATTCAGATATTTGGAAAATACAAACTTTGCATCCTAAACTTGTTCCGAAAAGTTATTTACATGCTGAATTAACTTTGATCCTAATAATCATGTATGTCAGACGATGAAGATTTTTGGAACTTACAGTACCTTTTTCAGAACACAAATTTATTTAAAATACATAAGGTCAGTCAATCGATCGACACTGGACAACACTATATACAGTGACTTCACAGGGAAACATGCATGTAGACTTAAAATAACTCACAATTTTTTTTTGTTGCAAAACTGACACATTGAGATAATGAAGTTAACAAATAGGACTGCAGGGCAGGCAGGGACACTGCGCTTTCCTGTTATTAAACTTGAAAATCAAGAGATCAACTGGTTTGGCTTCCTCTTTCATATGAGGCCTATTCTCAACTCTGAATATGTACAAAGTATAGCTAGTTCCAAGCTCGGATGAATAAGGAGTTCGTGTAAAAGTAGTCTAGTTGATGCAGTCTTTACTAACTTGAGATTGATTGGGGTCTAGTTGACTGATTGATCTTGGTTAAACTGTAGTAAGTCTAGATTAGCCAGTTTCAGATTTCATTAGTTCTGAAAGATGGGCATGAAATTTTATTTACTGTGACTTCAAAGGTTTATTAGGAACAGAATTTCATTAACTGTAATTTCAGAATAGTATACATGCAAATTTACCAGTAGTATATATCTATGCCACATGCCCACATATTACACATAATCACACCATCATCATATTCAATATGATACCATCAATATTATTATGATGCACTAAGCATCAGACCATGTAATGTCATAATCACCCCAATCACCTTCTGGAATACCCAAGGCTTTCCACACTGCTTTAGATGCATCAACAATGTTATTGGGACATGGAGGCTGATAGTCGTGTTCGTCATCACATCCCATGGTAGAGTCACACTCATCTACAACTTTAGCCTTCACACTTCTTCCATTAGCACTTATGGTGATATAGTTAAGGCACCTATCTCCTCCACTGTACCATCCGGTTGAAAGAGCAACAACTGGAGTGTCATCAGAATGGTATTGGTTATCACATTCCGATGGTCCACCACCATCTCCACCCTTTTGGAAGCTATTTAAGGTTAAAACAGCCTTGGTATTACCGGTCACAGAAGGTGAGCATTTGTATGTGGTGTACATCTTGCCTTGTTTGCAACAATCTGAGTCGTTTTCGGGGTTACATTGTCCTGGTGGTGGCTTTATGCCTCTGATACTGCCACTCGGCTGACAAGTCTGTAATCTTGCATCTAAGCAGTAAGTTAGAGTGGCGAAAATCAGCAACACCACAATTGATTTTCCCAAGCTAGAGTTCTTCATGGTTTCTGTTCCCTGTTTCCTTTTATGGTTTTGTTTTCAAATGTTGGTTGTGTGGACTAGACTGGATGATCTAACTTGGTTTATATAGTCTTCTGGTCACACAAAATGACAATATTCTGCTCAAGGCATGAAATTTTCTTATAATTAAGTACTTTATACAGTAATTAAATTTAGCGTCTATTGGAATGCTTCTTTATCCTTTTAGTATTTTGCTATAGTAAATTTGGACACACTTGATTATAGTTTATTTATTTTTCTTTAAGGTTTCTATCAGCGGATAACTAATTTAGAATTATCTGCCTCCTGCTGTAGAAAGGCATTCTACCACAACCTAATACGGCAACAACTTGACTTGATGGAGTATATTATTGTCTTGGATTCTTTAGTTGCTGAAAATAATTTTGTATTTTTGTTGTATAGTAGAAGTATTCTTATTATCTAAAACAGCTAGATGGTTAGTTTATTTAAGCAGTGAAAATTTCAAAAAATAATAAGAAGAAGATGAAGCAGACATATAAACATAACCTTATGTCCTTATCAAATATTGGATTTTCATCAAGACAACTATCACTAGGATAGAAGATTTGGTTGCTTGAAACTCTATTAAGATGACAATACAATACAAAACAAAAGTAAAACTATATTTAGTAGACTACAATGTTTCTCTTGAGCGTGATCCTTAATGATGCTGGATCACAAATACATTATACAGATTATTTAGAATAATTTCATCAACATTTTTTATGATTGTTATCTTCTTAATGAGTATCCTCTCAAAAAATTACCCACCATGGAGTTCAAATTTTGTTTTCCAATCATCTCAGCTCTTCCTTGTTCATTATCAAAATAGCTCATCTCGTGGTATGATATAATTCTTCTACATTTCCACTTGCAATATAAACAGATAAAAGTAGGAGAAACGTGATCTTCAGAGTAAGCAGAAACGAAATGATTAGTGCAGTAGAGGCTCTCAATGTGTTGTTCTTGAATACTTCTAACCTAAATTAAATATTTTTTCCTTCCTCCACGTCCCCATAATAGTAAGATAAATCATTCAAAGAGATCTCGTCGTTTGTATTAATAAAAAGATCTAGATGCTTATGATTCAGTTGTAGGAGACAAATCTTATGCTAAAGAAGAAAAATACAGAACTTCCTTCTCTTTATTGCTTTAGACTTCATCCTCAGACACATTCATGTTCACTGTATGATTATTATTTTGCTGCACTACTGTACTGTGATAGTACACATCATTAACTAAAACTTCTTATCCGGGTAGGTGTATATACCCAACCTCAACTAATTTAAGATGGGTGCCTAGTTGATTGATTGATAGATGTCGGTCAAATTGTAGTAGTTTTAGATGAGCTACTGAACCAAGTCCTGTTTTAGATTTCACGAATTATGTCTCTTTCATTGGCATGATGAATTTGATGTTGTGATATTTCAAATTTCGTTATACTGTAATTTCACAAGTAAAAAACATGTAGTATTTACGCTACATATTACACATGATGTGTGTACTTAGTATTTACGCTACATATTACACATGATGTGTGTAAGCACATAATCATTACATTGGAACGGTACATAATTACTATATATAATGCACTAAGCATCAGACCATGTAATGTCATAATCTCCCCAATTATCTTCTGGTATACCCAAGGCTTTCCACACTGCTTTAGAGGCATCAACAATGTTATTTGGGCATGGAGGCTGATAATCGTGCTCGTCATCACATCCCATGGTAGAGTCACACTCATCTACAACTTTTGCCTTCACACTTCTTCCATTAGCACTTATGGTGATATAGTTAAGGCACCTATCTCCTCCACTATACCATCCGGTTGAAAGGGCAACAACTGGAGTATCATCAGAGTGGTATTGATTATCACATTCCGAGGGTCCACCACCATCTCCACCCTTTTGGAAGCTATTTAGAGTTAAAACAGCCTTGGTATTACCAGTCACAGGAGGTGAACATGTGTAAGTAGTGTACATCTTGCCTTGTTTGCAGCAATCCGAGTCATTTTCAGGGTTACATTGTCCTGGAGGTGGCTTTATGCCTCTGATTTTTCCACTCGGCTGGCAACCCTGTAATCTTGCATCTAAGCAGTAAGTAAGAGTGGCAAAAACCAGCAAAACTAGAAGAGATGTTCCCATGATAGAGTTCTTCATGGTTCTTGTGATTCTGTTTTTGAAATGTTGGTTGGGTAGATACTGAGATGATCAAACTGGTTTATATCGTGTTTTGGTCACACAAAATGCCAAATTTCTGTTCAAGGCATGAGAAGTGTCTTATTATTAAGTATATATAGATGTTATGAAGTTTAGCAGTCAAATGGATTAATGAGAGTATTTTTATAATTCTTTTAGTGTGACAATAATTGCTTTACTTTCCTTGATGGTAAAAACATTTGTTTTCTCTATATAGATGTGTAAATTAGATTTTTGTGCGTCAACTTTACCTCCACGCTTAATCCTAATCACATTTTCCTATTATAGACAGGCATTCTACTACTACCTAATATGACAAGAACTTGATGGATTAGTTTATTGTCTTGGATTATCTTGTTTCTGAAAACAATTTTGTATTTTTCTATAGTAATAGAACAACAGATTGTTTCATCAGGTTACTAAACATGAAGTATTCTAGCATCTGTATGACTAAAGTCTTCATTTTGTTATGATCATCCTTTCCCGACCCCACTTGTGGGATTATGCTGAGTGTGTTGTTGCATCCTCCCATGTGACATCAGTTATGATAGTCGATATAGGAGATTAAGACTAATTTAAATGTGAGAACTGACAATGATCAACTAATGTTCTCCATGCATACTGCTCTATTTGCCTGTTGGAAAAGAACATTTACTGCAGTAACATAAGAATTAAGCCTTCAATTCATTAAATTTCAATAGTTCATGCTCTATCAGAAATCGTTTTTGATCCGTTTTATGATTTTCCACCTGACTAATTTTGTAACTTCTCTCGTAAATGGATTAGTGAACTAGTCGGAACCATAGGTTGCACAGGTTTATGATGAGGTTTCAGGGTGCTGATATGAACACATGAAGTATTAGTACACTGTTCACTGAGCTTATTTTCATTGTTGATATCAAAATCAATGATTGCAATTAACACTAGCTACCAAACATAACACAAAGAAATACAAAATCAAATTCTGAAGTCTATATCTCAGACCAAGTTGAAATTGTCACCACTTGTGTAGATTGAATAGGTAAGGCCTCATTCATTTTATTGATCTCGAATTCAACCTGAACACATTAGGTTGTTTCTAACACACGAAGATAAGTTAACATAGGACCTTGAAGTCAACTCCTAGAGTTAAATCATACTATTCTGCATTTGGGACTGATGAATTCCACCTTATTTTAAACTTTAAATCAGCAAATGTTTTTTTTAACTGTAGTAGCTAGGTTAGTTTAGCTACGGAACCAAGTCCTGTTTTAGCTTTCACTGATCGATACAATGTCTCTTCTCTTTCATTGGCATGAATTTCATATTATGATAAGTTCAAAAGTAGTCATGAACAGAATTTCATTAATTATACTGCAATTTCACAACAACAAATTACATGAGAAATTAGATGACATAATCTGAGTACAAAGACAACCATCATATGCAAACGATACCATCAATACTATATATGATGCGCTAAGCATCAGACCATGTAATGTCATAATCACCCCAATCACCTTCAGGTATACCCAAGGCTTTCCACACTGCTTTAGAGGCATCAACAATGTTATTGGGGCATGGAGGCTGATAATCGTGTTCGTCATCACATCCCATGGTAGAGTCACACTCATCTACAACTTTAGCCTTCACACTTCTTCCATTAGCACTTATGGTGATAAAGTTAAGACATCTATCTCCTCCACTGTACCATCCGGTTGAAAGAGCAACAACTGGAGTGTCATCAGAGTGGTATTGGTGATCACATTCCGAAGGTCCACCACCATCTCCACCCTTTTGGAAGCTATTCAGGGTTAAAACAGCCTTGGTATTACCAGTCACTGGAGGTGAACATTTGTAAGTGGTGTACATCTTGCCTTTTTTGCAACAATCTGAGTCGTTTTCGGTGTTACATTGTCCTGGTGGTGGCTTTATGCCTCTGATTTTGCCACTCGGCTGGCAAACCTGTAATCTTGCATCTAAGCAGTAAGTAAGAGTAGCAAAAATCAGCAAAAGCAAAGGTGATGTTCTCACAGTAGACTTCATGGTTTTTGTTCCTGTTTTCTTGTTAGGTGTTGTTTTGAAATGTTGGTTGTGTGAAGATTGGATGATCAAATTGGTTTATATAGTGTTCTGGTCAGACAAAATGCCAATATTCTGCTCAATGCATGAAAGTTTTCTTATAACTAAGCATACAGCTATGAGAGTTTAGCAGTCAAATAGATTACTTCTATTTGTGGTTTGGCTGTACTGGAATGGACATATCACATACTATATTATAATTTCTTTACATTCCTTGACGGTCACGCCCTTTTTTCTATAATCAGCAGTTATCTAGATTGGAGTGGTGAATACAAGTTTGTATCTTTCTGTATATATTTAGTAAGAGAAGAACAGACTGTTTCATCTGGTCGCTAAACATGAACACCTGGATTTCTAGCAATCATCTTTTCAATTATATAAATAAGTAGACAAATACAGTGTCGAAGAGCTCATATTCATACTTAAAATATGAAAATATTATGATTGCATAGAACTGAATCCAATAAAGTTTACATATACACAGCGAAAAATGCATTTGTGATCGAAATGATGGGGACTATAAAATTACATAAGCAAGTTCTTAGACCAAGTTATAACAAACTTGACGAAAGGAAACAGACAACTTTTGAGGCAGCAACCACATTAGCTTGTCATGGAGGCCAATCAACACCCCGCGGTTGTCACTCTCATTGGGTACACGTCTATTACACCACCCAGTTGAAATAGTCAGCACTGGTGGATTGAGTAGGGAAGAAGACCTCATTCTCCTTGTTGATTCCAAATTCATCTTGAACTGTATTATGAAAAATCGAAATTGGACAGAGACTCAAACAGTACAACAGCTTGCGTTTGGCTACTCTATCTTGCTTTGTCAACCCTGCAACAGTTTCTGCGACCTGGAGAACCTGATTATTACCTTCAGTCAAATCATCACCAAACTGCTCTGGTGTCGTGAAGGCAAACTTTACTAGAAAAAATGGCCACATTCAAGGAACAATCAGAATTTTTGGCTTGACTATTGATATGGACAGGAGTGCTACAAGAAATCAAGTTTTTTCCTACAGCTGAATATAAGTTATCACAACTAAAGTGAGTAGAGGAACCTGAGAGCAACCACTTAAGGAAATAATATTGTATTCTTCTATTTTTTATGACAAGGGAACCCGCAACTGCTACCTTTTGGGTGCACATAGGGTAAACCCGGCGGCCCATGCAATAGCTTGCAAACTGGTGCACATATGGTAAACCCCGCTCATGTGCAATAACTCGCAAACCACACAGGAGAGATAAACCGCACTAGGCAAGCCCCATGAGACGAGACCCATAAGGCCAACCCCCTGTTGTCGCAGGTAAGGGGTTTCAAACTTGAGACCTCCATTAGGGAAGGCCCAAACCAAACCATTTGAGACACCCCAAAGAGTAGCAACAAATTTTAAAGCAACAAGATGACTACTTTCTTTATTAATAAAAAAATTAGGCAGGAAATTCTAACCTCATAAAATGTAGGATAAGGAAAAAATGATTTTCCCTATGTGTTTGTAATTTCACTCAAGGCCCCAATATTGACTTTCTCGCTATTCTCCTTGTCACCAAGGGAGTCCTTGCCACGATCTGGGCCATCACTACCATGGCCATTATTAGCGTCAAAACCATTGGAATCACCATCACCATGTCTGTCATGGTGGCCATCTCTTCTATCAATCTGTCGAACAATGGAACATAAATTACAATAATATGAAAAAACAGCAAAAAATATTAGTGCCGGGAATTTTACAGGCAATGCTTCTGAATTATCCTTTTCTGACTGTTTCTTCGACAACGACTCGATTGCTTTAAAGACATCAGCAAATGACACCATCATTTGTTTCTTGAGCAACTCAGTTGCTTTGAAGACCTAACAAAGCCCACAAAAATATAAAATGAAACTGTTTGTGTTTGGATAAACTGAAATGTTAAACTATAAATATACAGAGATCTGCAACTGCCCATACCTCTCGAATATTACTCTTCAACTCTGACTGTTCATCTGAAAGTCGTTTGAGCTCGGCACTCCTCTCCAAATTGTTCACTGGGGAATCCAATTTGGTTTTGGGCTGAGTTTTGCTTGTTTTAGGAGGAGAGCTAAAGTCATCATCACGAGGATGAACTTCAGGAAGATCTCTGTATGCCACTTCCTTATCATTTGGATTTCCAGATGATTCAGGCAAATCCAAGTGAAGTTGCTCAAACTCCGTGGGAGAAACATTCTTGAACTTCAACTACATAAAAAGTAAATCAAATGAGTAGAGATGAAAGATGAAAACATCCCCATAAAATTTAAAATTTTTACAATAAACATTTATGTTAACATGCTGCATACACTGCATGTATACATTATTATCTATATTGTATATTGACTTTGCAATTCACCTTGTCACTTCTGATCTTGAATAACCCACCAGACAACTCATTCAAGGTCGGTTGCTTCTCAATTTTCCAATTAAGAATACGAGGCACTTTGTTGTCAACCCGGTGAGCCAACTTACCATCAGCATTAGTGCAGCACTCGTAGAACCAACACTGCAAAGCCAAAGGTAAACCCCCAAGCCTATACATCTTTAGACCCACACGCAACCTATTGTTTATGGACTCCATCATGGCTCTAAATACAAGTATACCCCAAGGGAATGTCTCATAATCCCCGCTCTCAACAATACAAAAATCAGCCTTTGTGATGAATGTGTTAATATTAGCAGTTGAGATCAAGAATGTGTGTATGAAATACAACACAGCAATCTTGACTGCATCCTCGTCCGACCTCCATTTCTTTTGGAGGAAGCAGTCAATCAGTGATTGCTTGGGTACCTTTTCAAGTCCAGGAAAGTACATATCCATCAACCTATTGGTATCACTAGATTCATAACCCTTATCAGCATCACCACAACATCGCAAGCCAGTAATAATCCCCAATTCTGCCAGACTGAAACGCAACTTGGTTCCGTTCACTTTAAACCACAGTTCATCCTCTCTTTCCGGGACCACCTGCCTGAGCAATAGGGAATGTATAAGCTGGTTCTGTACAACTACACGAGGCAAATCTAGAAAGTACCCAAATGGGGTTCCCCTGAAGATCTGGAGCTGTCTATCATCCAACTTGCTTTTCAACAATGTAACAGCATTACAATTTGTGTGCGAACTTACGCGCGTGTGGAAATGTTTGTTTGGTGGGATGTAGAAATCCCAAGTCTGCATTCCCAAAAGATATTGATGTTAGCGAAAAAACTATAACATTCATCAAGTACTGCCTATATACTCATTATTGTGAACATTGTATATACAATCAAACCTCTCTATACGCGAGACCCTTTATATGGGCATTTCACCATGACATGCCAATTTCTTTAGAACTGATTTTTTATGTTATATTTTACCTTTTCTATAACATTTTTTTTACCAATAACAACATCCATCATTATAATGTTACGCTCTTTGTAAAACTTACCTCTCTATAACGGTCTTTACCCAAATATCTATATACTTATTATTTGATGACAACTAAAGAGCAATCTAGTAATAAGTACTATTTTATAAGAAATATAATCTTTCTAAGTTTTATAAGTTTTAATGAAAACCTGGAATGTCAAAATCTCTTGTTAAGATGAAGTTGGGGACTTTTTACAATCTGCCATTTTCCCACACCCCCACCTTATTAATATTGTATTAGCCTAGTTAATTTATAATTAAAGAGATATGAATATCATTTGAGATTTAAAAGTTCAACCATTTTATTATCTTTTATAACAAAACAAACTGATTTTTTTTGTGTGTGTTTTTGGGTCTTTTTGATCTATAACCACCAAAAAGAAGATCTAAATAATCTCTGTAAAACGGCAACAACAACAGGTCCAGACAAACTAGGTGTTATAGAGAAGTTTGATTGAACAATGAATATATACTGTAATAGTTGTGTATGCAACTGCACTGTATATAATGTATATACACACACCCACACACTTTATATACAGTATATAATGCTTGTATACATTGTACTATACACATTAAACACAACAATTCCAAAAGAATAAACCATTAACTAGTGTAAAAGGTTGAAAAAGTACCTTCAAATTGGAGGAGCTTGGAGGCTCTTCTTCGTTTTGTCCATCATACACCTTTCTCTTTTTTGATGTAACAACTTCATCCACCTGTACAGATTTACCCTTATTTTTCCCAGCAGCATTAACATCCTTCCGTTTTCTAGATAATTCACCTTTCGTTCTAGGGGATTTCTTCGCATTAGATTCAGTACCCACAATTGCTCCATCGGGAGTCATCTGAGAGCGAGTCCTTCTTCCAGTGGAGCTTTTCTGAGCAGATTTAGAGGTTGAATTCAACTTGGAATCGACAGAATCAGAACTAATTTCTACTGACAAATCATCATCAGTAAATTCATAAACAGACAAAGGATCGATTTTCGGTCTTTTCCTGCTTGCTATTCGAGTCGACTTTTCCACCATTCTCAACAAAGCCCTAAAATCAAACAGAGGATCTCGTCGGAATTGAAGCAGAAGAAGGGTTTGTGGTTAGGTTACGGTAGAGAAGAGAGACAAAAGAAGATTTGTTAGTTAGCATTGTACGGAGTAATAATAAGTAGTGGTATTTTTTATATTTATATAAATCGATGTGGTTACCCATAAATCAAAATAGTTGCTACACTAAAAAAAATAAATAAGTGTGTCGATGCGAGGGATAAGAGATAACTAATTTTAAAATGAATTTCTTTTATGTTTGATTGAGATAAATGTGAATAGTTTATCTGAGATTAGTTCTCACGAGATTGTAGTGGTATTTTTTTTTCATCCTAAAATAATAATTTTGGAATGATTAATTTCGGAATAGTTAACTCTGAAATAACTTGTTTTCCAAACAAACGATCCTTTCACTTTTACTTATTACTTTAGTTTATAAAAAGAAAAATATCCTCTTTCATATTTTAACCTTCATATTAATTGGAGAAAATCTTGTTGGAGTAACACCCCGAAAGCCTTATCACACATAATTCGAATTTAATGGGAGCACCAATATAAATAGCGTACACGGGATGGGAAACAAAAAAATCTTAATACTAATTACTTAATCATCAAATTATTTTACAAGACTTAAATCTATATACTAAATGGATATTCTAGTAAAATATATATAACATTTATTATTTTTAAAGAAAAAGGAAAATTCATTATGGACAAGTAAAAATGAATAAAGGTATTAACTTTTAGGGGAAAAAGGTAAATATATCCCTCCTCAATTTTATAATTTAAAGCTAATATATTCTCGTTATCAAATAAATAGAGTTCAAAATTGAGGGGCGTAAACTGTTAAAGCGGTTATAAGATGATAAACTACCACTAGGGGGACCAATTTATGACTCATGAGCAGGGCAGAGTTAAAGTTTATTGTACGATTCATCTGAAATCAATAATTTAAACTCTATTTGTCTCGAGAAATTTATTTATATTGTACAAATTATTATGTAAAAAATCAGCAAATGTTTTTTTCTTTCTTTTTCAGGAAGTGACTAGTGAGCATCACTAACACAACTAGTAGTAAGTTAAATCTGTGCACGTACAAAGTAGAGTAGGTTCCACGCTCGGATTCAGATGGTGTAATTGTGTAAAATAAATGTCTAATCTATGACGCTTTAAAGATAGAAACGAAGATTTATATAGCTGATCGCAACTAATTTGAGATCGAGGACTAGTTAGTTTATTGATTGATCTTGGTAAACTTGTAGTAGGTTTAGATTAGTTACTGAACCAAGTACTATTTTGGATTTCACTATTTTATGTCTCTTTCATTGGCATGGATTGAATATTACCATCATTTCAAAAGTCGAATATGAACAGAATTTCATTATATTGTAATTTTACAGCAACAAACATGAGAAATTAGTAGTATGTGTGCCACATAATCTGTGTATGAATAGGACCATCATATGCAAAATGATACCATCAATACTATATATGATGCACTAAGCATCAGACCATGTAATGTCATAATCACCCCAATCACCTTCAGGTATACCCAAGGCTTCCCACACTGCTTTAGAGGCATCAACAATGTTATTGGGGCATGGAGGCTGATAGTCGTGCTCGTCATCACATCCCATGGTAGAGTCACACTCATCGACAACTTTAGCCTTTACACTTCTTCCATTAGCACTTATGGTGATATAGTTAAGGCACCTATCTCCTCCACTGTACCATCCAGTTGAAAGAGCAACGACTGGAGTATCATCAGAGTGATATTGGTTATCACATTCCGATGGTCCACCACCATCTCCACCCTTTTGGAAGCTATTTAAGGTTAAAACAGCCTTGGTATTACCGATCACAGGAGGTGAACATGTGTAAGTGGTGTACATCTTGCCTTGTTTACAACAATCTGAGTCGTTTTCGGGGTTACATTGTCCTGGTAGTGGCTTTACGCCCCTGATTTTTCCACTAGGCTGGCAAGCCTGTAATCTTGCATCTAAGCAGCAAGTAAGAGTAGCAAAAATCAGCAACACCAAAAGATATGCTCCAAAGCCAGAATTCTTCATTGCTTTTGTTCCTTTCTCTTATCTTGTTTTTTGTTTCCACTTGTTAGTTTGAGGAGATTGGGATGATCTAACTGGTTTATATAATGTTCTTGTCACACAAAATGACAATATTCTGCTCAAGGCATGAAAGTTTCTTATAATTAATTATGCAGTTATTGAGAGTTTAGCAATCAAATGGTCTGGTGGAGCACTCTTTTATCCTTTTAGTTATTTGGCTATAGTAGATTTGAACATATTTGATTGTAACTTCTTTATTTTACTTGATGGTAACGGCATTTGTCTTCTATAATTGGACATCTAAGTTGGATTCTTATGTATGAGATCCTGATGTTCTATTGTCTTGGATTATGTAGTTGCTGAAAAGATTTCGTATTCTTGCTGTACAGATGGAGCACCATTGCACAAAGCAGTGTTAACTAAAAGCTTGGTGTGTTTCAAAGCTGGTTAAAAATGGAAACTTTGCTGTATATTGGCTAAAACAATGAACTTCAGGTTTGAAGATGATCAAAAGTCATGAGGGGATAGATTCTCATAACAAAGACGACCACTTGCATAAAATAACTCCATTCAGATCAAAGTTTTTGAAATTCTATTGATAGGACTACAACACGACCTCACTAAGCTAAAAGGAATATTGTATCCAATACACCTAATTGTGTATGTATTAAGCTTGGTCCATAATGACATTTTGAACTTTAATGCTTTTATTAGGAATATGCTAGTCCTCTTTTTAATCCTTGGTACAGTATAACGACATAAGATATATTGATAGGTAATGCCTTCTACTGTTTATTGATTCGTAATTCATCACCACTTATGTGTATTCTATTTAGACAAATGGCTAAACATTATAGCAGCTTATGATTGCAGCTAGCTACTGTCTTATTTGTCCCTTCTTTCAGATCATCATCAAGCTTGTTCTGTAGTGGGGTTAAGGCAGGTTTAACTGGCAAAAGAGACTGTACCTTAGGTACCTTCCGTTGGACAGGACCTGTACGTGTTTACTAGATATCTAGTAGTTTCAAATCATAAGCAGAGGACCCCCAAAAGCAATTGCGGAGCTAAATGGAAATTTGCATTTATGGAAATGCAAAATTTCACATTATTAAGTGTATAACAACAAGAATCTTTCATTTCATTCCAGGAACTGATCATCATCATACAAGTTAAAAACAACTTAGTTTTCAACCATTTGATGCCAATTTGTAACTATAATGTACCAAGTATAGCTTGTTCCGAAGCAGGATAAACTAAGAGCTAGCATAACAAAAATATAACTTTGATGCAGCCACTTCTAAGGTAATCTATTTATATAGCCTTCACCAACTAATTTGGGAGGTTTTGTTGATTGATTGATTGATTAAGGCCAAACTGTTGTAGATTTAGATTAGCTACGAAAATCCTTTTTTTCAGATGTTTTACTAATCATATCTGTATCATAGATATGAAATTTCATATTACTGTCACTTCAAAAGTAGATATGAACATAATTTTTCATTAGCTGTAATTTCACAACAAACAACATGGAAATGTAGTAGGATCTTTGCCATATATTACACATAACCTGAGTATGCACACGATCATTGTATTCAAATGAAAGCTTAATTACTAATAATGCACTAAGCATCAGACCATGTGATGTCATAATCACCCCAGTCACCTTCAGGTATACCCAAGGCTTCCCACACTGCTTTAGAGGCATCAACAATGTTATTCGGACATGGAGGCTGATAATCATGTTCGTCATCACATCCCATGGTAGAGTCACACTCATCTACAACTTTAGCCTTCACACTTCTGCCATTAGCACTTACTGTGATATAGTTATGGCACCTATCTCCTCCACTGTACCATCCGGTTGAAAGGGCAACAACTGGAGTATCATCAGAATGGTATTGGTTATCACATTCTGATGGTCCACCACCATCTCCACCCTTTTGGAAGCTATTAAGAGTTAAAACAGCCTTGGTGTTACCAGTCACAGGAGGCGAACATTTGTAAGTGGTGTACATCTTGCCTTGTTTGCAACAATCTGAGTCATTTTCCGGATTACATTGCCCTGGTGGTGGCTTTATGCCTCTTATTTTGCCACTCGGCTGGCAAGCCTGTAATCTTGCATCTAAGCAGCAAGTAAGAGTTGCAAAAACCAGCAACACCAAAAGATATGCTCCAAAGCTAGAATTCTTCATTGCTTTTGTTCCTTTCTCTTATGTGTTTTTTGCTTCCAATTGTTGGTTTTATGAAGACTGGGATGATCTAACTGGTTTATATAGTGTTTTGATCCGACAAAATGCCAATATTCTGCTCAAGGCATGAATTTATTTATTTTCATAATTAAGTATACAGTTATTAAGTTTACCAGTCAAATGATCTAAGTGGAGAAGTTTACTATTGTTTTTTTTTAATTTTACTTATTTGGACTATAGTAACTTAAGATATATGTGATTATAACTGCTTATCTCTCCTCGACAGTCACAGCCTTTGTCTTTTATACAAAGATGTCTAAATTGGAGTTTTCAGCTTCAGCAACTTTACCTTCACGGCTACAGCAAAGGGACAAGAACTTGTTAGGCTAAATTATTGTCCTTGAGTTTTCCAGTTGCTGAAACTAATTCTGTATTTTTTTTTGCACGACATATCGTTTCATCTGGTCTCTAAGATAACAAAGGTGCAGTCCAGTGCCAGTACCAGTACTGAGCTTGACTTCATACGCCTCGCGGCAATGTGGAGTCAAAAGAATCTAACTGAAACTTGAGTGATAAGAATGTTGTATAATCAAACACAAATTTGGCATCAGATGTTATTAAACACCAAGTACAGAAAAAAGGTTTATATATATATCGACAGGATTGCATGCACTTTGTAGAAAATAAACAGTACACATCTGATATACACACACAGATAGTTCTCAGTATCTTTGCCTAATTCATTTTACATTCCATGAACCATGGCAAAGCAGCAAAATGTGCTAAGAATGCAAATAACTTGCTGCACAACATACAGAAACAAATCAAACTTTTGAACATTTCTTTGGTTTCCCGGTCTT